TTTTATGAATTTTTCGTAGAATACCAATAAGTCCATGACTCATGGGGAAACGTCTTTTTACAAGTCAAACTTTTCGCCTTAATGCACATCCAGATTTCTGAGCAATTTTTGATACGAGAAATGTCTCTATGATAAATCTCTGAGCATCTCTACAATTTTTTTTCCTTAACCGTTGTCAAAAATCTTTGAATCAACAGTAAACTAGCCGCCCCCCCCCCCTAAAAGACCTTCCATGGAATCACCGCAAGCCACGTTTTGTTTTTAAATTTAATTCTTCATAAGATATGCATTTCGAACAATTGCACTAAATGAATTGGCAACAAATTTTTTATATGCGATTGTAATTGTATGTTGTTATACAGTTAAGTTAACACTTATAAAAAACATCGTCAACAAACTGTCTATTGAAATAAACTAAGCTACACATAAAAAGAATTTCCACTTTTAGAAAATTATATTTTGTCTCTGCATACTTCGTAGTTTATATTTTAAATCGATTTGTTGAAATTATTTCTTTATCAATCCAAGATTTTGATTGCAGCATAAAAATTGAGTCTTTTTTGAATTTTTGAACTTGAATTTTTTGTCGAGTACTCTGAACTTGAACGTTCGGTTAGCTGAAACCTTACGCTAGCTCTGAATTTTTTTAAACACAGAAATTGAAAAAAAAAGGTTCTAAAATTGCACATATACAATCACAAATCAGTTTTTGTTCCGTCGGTCGAAGAAAGTGAGGAATATATATGGTCGGAGTGATTTTATTCATTCAGACAACTTTCAGAGAAGCTAGTTCTCTGGGGGATTGATCTCTTGATCTGCCAGCTCACCGCCCAGTTCGCACATCACTACACTAACCTAATGTCAGAAGTTTTGATTTCTCTGTTGGACTTTTTTATGGATGGTTTCTGTTTTGATGTACATTTTGAAAATATCAAGATTTTTTTTGATTTTGAGCGCGCATAGCACATACTTATTATGTTGAGAAAAAATAAGCAAAATAGCTGAGTTTTTTGTAATTTTAATAGCTTTTTCAAAGATTAACAATTTAGGATAAGATTCAGTTGTATCGCATAGCTAAAAATTAAGGAAGTATTAAAATGTACGTATAAAGTATCTGGTCGTAATAGCCGGGTTGACCAAAACTTCTTATCATACAATTTCCATATATGAGAAACTTCTTGTCATACAATTTCATACAACTCCATACGTACAGAAAATTGTATGAAAAACTCTATGATAGGCATTTTTTCCATATATGAAAATTGTATGATAGGTGTTTTTCCATAAACCAAAAATTTTGATTTTTTCTTTCTAAATTTAGTTTCTGAAAATTTTCGGTTGTGTTTGCAACCAAACACAAGTGACAAAGACCTTGCTTACTCGAAACACCAAAGGTTGGACGGTCTTGCATTTACAATGCATAGAAAACGACCTAAATTTGGCTGTCTTTCACAATTGATATAACAAAAGTAACAAACTTTTATTTTTTGGCAAAAATTTTTAATGATGATTATTGTAAATTTTTGAGTTTTCAAGTTATCAGACATTAATCAAGGCATACATTAACACCCCATACAAAAAAATAGGAATTTTCAGCGTTTTTGAAAAAAAAATTTAGTGAAAAAAAAACCAATTTTATTGTATCCAATGACTACGTTATGCACAAAAAATATTAAATTTTGCATGCAAAAAAAGTTTTCGAAAAATGTTTGCTTGCGTACGAAATTCAATTTGCGGTTGAAAAAAAAACAAAAAATTTTTTGGGCCAATTTTCACAAATTACTCGTGTCGCCATCAAAAAAATGCCAGTCTTACATTTCCATACATGGGAATTGCATGATAAGCATTTTTGCAAAAAATTAAAACTCTCAGTTTTTGTCACCAGACTGTTTTATTAGAATCAAACAGCCACAGAAATAAGTTTATACCAGTTTTCAACCATTTTTAGAAATTGTATGAAAATTGTATGTCAAGCATTTTTCCACTCACTTGATGTATGGAATTGTATGATAAGCATTTTCGGTGTATGGAGGTCAACCCGGGAGCAGAAAATATGCAACTGATAATTTTATTTGTGCGCAAGGCTCTGCTCCCGGTTTAAGCAATTTATGTATGAACAACTAGGTGTTTCTATTATCTTGGATATTGGGAGTTTGAAACAATTTGAAGTACGAATAGTTATGAGCATACCACTTAAAAAACGTTTTTGACAATATTATTTTCGTGTCGGGCTTAAAATTGCCGGGGCTTTTATCGGTAAGCCCAGGAAAATTTCCGATAAACTGCATAAAATTTTACTTAATAGGAAATACTACTCGGGGTAACAATCCAACAAAATTTCCCCTATATTAGATTTTCTTGTAAATTTTGTAAGAAAAGACACTATATTTCAATATTCTTTTGAAAAAGGTCCTTATCTTGTAGCAATCTTAGAGCGTAATTTCGTAAGTTGTAAGATTCTTATAAGAAAAATTCTAAGATAGCGGCGACTTTTGGTAGTGATGAGTTTTAAGATAGCGGTGACAGGTATGTATAAAACTAACGGATAATCCCTTCTCACCAATCAATTTAGGGGGGAGACAACACGGATCTTTCAAATATTAGACGATGTGAACAGTCTCCCATCTCAAAACTAAATTGCTAATTCAAGCTGTTAAGCCTGCATGTACCTGATACAATCTGATTACGTTTAACCAATAAAACATTTTCCTCCTTAAATTGATTCAGGGGGAAGTTTGTTCATTTGGACCCTTTTTTGGTCATCATTCTGCTCTTTTTTTAACGGAAAGTTTCATGTAGTTTTTTGTGCTAATTTTAATGTACTACATCAAACTACCTCTCGATGACAAAGTTTCCTGACATGAAATTTTCAGCAAACCATTCCCGACTACAGCTTCCAAGCTAGCGCAAGAAAGAAAAGCAATTATATACGTTTGCTCAAAATCAAAACTTAACCTAAATACAAAAGAAGACAAAATTGTTTAAGAAAACTTTGTGTTCCAGAATAGCAGAACCATCACAAATTACAGAAAACTATGAATGGCTTTATTTGGCAATAAAAAAATTCTCATTCAAACTTTTTATATAATTTTGAAAGGAAAAATCAAGAGAAATATATAAGCACTAATTTCTCTGTTTAAAGCTGCTCCATTTTCCTAGCACAGTTTAGTGAAAAGATTAAAACCACTTGAACGAGCAAACTATTGTAAGAAACGAGAGCTGATAAGATTTATAGCAAAATCAAATCCACAATTTTGAGGCTAACCACAGCACTATACTTTGAACTGTTGAAAAATTGCATGAATCATTTGAGAAAAAATTGTATTTTTTTCTGCTTTGTTATGAGTTTTACGCACGAACCGATATCATCTATCGACAAATCGTTTTTATTGTAATGTAGAGGCACTTAGCATAGTGGTAAGTCGAGAATTTCGTGATCATCAGATCAGGTAATCGAACCTGCCGTGTCAGTTATAGTGTGTGAGGGCGATCTCTCACTTCACCTCCAGCTTCAAGTCTATCACAGTCTGACTAATTTTGACTGCACTAGTGGTTCCATGTGAAACTTCTAGAAGCAAAAAAATTCAAATTGAGGCGTCAAAAAAAGAACATCGCTCCACAAAGGAAATCTGTAATGTCTGGAATGTGGGGAAATAAGCA